GTTCTGATGCGAAATTCGTCGGCTCTATAACATGCTATAGAAATCTGCTCTCCAGAGGTGTTTCCCTTCTGTTAAATTCAGGTTATCATTACGGAACGCGAAGTCGTTGAGAACTAGGGTTCCTTTTCTCCACGAATTTTATGCTAACATTTGAGTGTTTCGCTAATATGTTCTATATATTCTGATAGCCAATTTTAAGCTCTATAACACTGCATTGCAGTTATTTTGAAAATCGTTTGGTGAAACGACGCTTGTTGTTTCAGGTGATATATGGCAAATGTCAGGTCGATAAGCATCAGCACTTCAGACATCTCCTCCTTTTCCCATTCAACAGAGGTACCAGAGCTGCTGATGCTGCTCGGGAAATTCGCTAATGACGTGTCGTAACTACTACTCGTACTTTAAGCGCTTACATCAAACGACGACGATTCTATTGAGGCTGCTCTTGGCGTTTGAAGGCGCTTCAGTGAGCAGGGGCGGTTGAGGAGAGGAAGTCGGAACTCGAAATCTCAATCCGACCTCCACAATCCGTAAGAGACGAACCTGAACTTAACAGAAAACAGCTCCGGAGAACTGATTTTTATGTCATGTTATAGAGCACGAAATTGGCTATCAGAACATATAGAACACATTAGCGAAACATTCAAATGTTAGCATAAAATTCGTGGAGAAAAGGGAACCCTAGTTCTCAACGACTTCGCGTTCCGTAATGATAACCTGAATTTAACAGAAGGGAAACACCTCTGGAGAGCAGATTTCTACAGCAGTGTTGTAGAGCACGAAATTTGCTATCAGAACATGTAAAACGTATCAGTGAAACATTCAAATATTCAGCCATGCAAATTTCAGTGGAACAGACGTGAGCTGCCCAATATCGGCGAGGTGAAGGTTGGTAACTTCAAAATTCTTGAAATTCGTTCCAAAGCGTCCTAGTGAGATTCCCTTGCTGGAACTTCTAGCTCGACCTTTTCCAAATGTATGGAGCAGCTTAAGCGATTTTAGCACTTCGACTATACGTAAATAGAGGCAGTTGTCGAAGGTGCTAATTTTCGCCGACTTCGCTTTCAACTTCAACGACTAAAAAATCCACAAAAATTATTCCCTCAACCAAAGCCGTTTTGATATTCTAAAACTACGTGAAGTTTCCTATCAGATGATATCAAGCTTGCTAGCAAAACATTTCATCTTTGGAACGAAATTTCCGGTTGAAAAAAAACGAAAGTACTTATGTGCCAACCCAATACATTGGCTTTGTAGGGCGCTGTATAAGCGTGGGAACTGCGCAAAGAAGGATGGAAGGTCAAAATCTTTGCGAAGCAAAAAGCCTCCGTTCTCAGTGACTTGAAACTCGATTTCGGACGAGTTTCCCGTAGGCATCTTACCAATCACCGCTACCGAAGATACGGCTGCATATGTGTACCCATGTATGCATGCAGCATCACCGGCCGCTTCATACCAATCCCTTCGCTTCATAATTGCTCAGCAAATGAATGAATACGAGCGTCAGAAACGGTCGTCCATTTGTGGGCGGGCGGGCGTGGCGGGCGTTTGGGACGTAAAGTTGTGGCTTGATAGGGCTCTTATAGGGGCACTTTCCTCGGAGAAACCGCTATGAAGCGCCTGCCCACGGTCGCGGAATTCTATCCTGCCAGGCGTATCAATCCTACTTGTCTTTAGGGAATTATCGTGCCAACTGCCTTTAATTCTGGGGCAGTGACAACAGCAATGATAGATGTTGTTTGTTATAGAAAGGTGTACTACGTCTCAAGACGTGGGAGAGGTAGGTAAATAGTATAGCATGAGTGCGCCTCATCCCAGTAGTATACAAGTGCTCACGCTGAGAGTGGTTCCACCCCCAACGTAGGTGGAGAGGAAAAATAGGTTGGGATCGTTGTCGCGACGACGCAAAATCAAAAGATATTCTCTACACTCAATTCGAGCAACGGCCCTTGCAGATCGAGAAAAAAAGACGGTGGCAAGCTGTTACAATGCAACGCTGTTCGGCATCTGAGAAATGCCGGAACAGCGGTACCACCACAGGCATTGTCATAACCATGGGGGGGGGTCGTACTTTCGCCTCGTGGGGGAGGGGGTCGTATTTGGAAGACAAATTTATTTTGATAGTTGATTTTTTCTTGTGGAAAAGGGGGGGGTCGTAGTTAATTTTTTATATGCACTATATGCATTTTGTACGCCCGTGGGATATACGTTGCATAGTAATTGTATACCCCCGCTCGACAACTTTTTCGCCGACTATATACTCATCGCTCGTCCGTCGGCGAAGAAGCCGTGGAGGCGGAGGAGGGGGGGGGGGTCGTGCCTGGACCCCATTCGAAGGGGGGGGGGGGTCGTACTCACACCGACATTTCGCACATCCTCCATGCTGTACCCTGCGCGTGAATGAAGCAGAGGTAGCCATGCCTATTGCTGATTGGGACTCCGTTGCGCAATTTTCAAGGACAGAAGCGGAAAGCAACATAACCAAAGATTGTAGACAGGCAACACGGTAGGTTGATGAAAGGACCGAGTTGCGTCCTTTAACCTCTCCGGAGCACATGTGCCCAGAGACCCTCAGGTAAACCAACATTTTTGAAGAGCTATATTTTCCTTAAAGCTAGTCCATTGGAGAAAAGAAGAACGCGATTGTGAAGCGAAAGATTTGATCTTTCAAAAAAGTACTGAAAACTCCATAAAGGTTTGTTGATCTAGGGAGATATTCAGCGTTGGGAATTTGTTGGGGTTTTGGAAATTGGATGCAAAATGTCCTTGTTTGAACCCAGATAATTTTCTTCCAGCTCAACTGTTTGCAAATACGGGAGTAGGTTTTGAAACGAAGAGTAGCTCCTCTTTCCAAAAACTTTTTAGGTGTGGTTGACGTTCCCGGGCCCACGAGGTAAATGCCTTAAAAAATTTTTGCGCTGCGCAGAAAACCCGTGCAGATGTGTTTATAGGATTCAGGAAAGGTCCATGGCCTACTTACGCATTCGTTTGCCGTCTTGTTCGCTGCAGATGATGGGGCGTGCCCACGCCGTGCCGCCGCCGAACGATATGATGCAGCTTCCTGAAGCAAAAAAGAAAAAACCGTTAGCGCCGCGCCAAACGAAGTCGCGCGGACACGCCCAATCATCCGCAGTGAACCAGACTATAAGTCATCCACGTACCTACAAACTGATGTCAACCTGTCAATACATCCTGTTGACCAATCTAATTTTTGTGGCGTTTTTCTTTACAAATCTGGGTTCTCTACAAATCCAGATTCCCTACCCAGGGCTTAGCGACACTGACATCTTTGATATTCCGTACTGACTGCCCCTCTCACTACGACTCCCTCTCCCCACCGCAACAGTCAAATACATTCCCCTCCCATAGGTAACCTCAACCATGAACCTGTCTGTGATCCCTTCCTGCTAAGGCTCGGCTCTGTCAAACTAAATGGTCATCGCAGGTGACCAGAAAGGGTACTGCTGAATGCCTTAGCACCCGCTTGGTGCAAAACCTCTAGAGGGCGCGTAACGTGCGCCAAAGTTGGCGTGAGTGCCATCGCTGTAACTGCCTCAGGCAGTTTTGGTCCTACTAGCTGTGGCATTCCCGTTCAGAGGGACAAGCGCTGCTTTTGGCGAATTTATCACTTATGGTTAGGGTTTTTTGGCTGCGGTAGATGTGACGCGAGCGCTAGCTGGTTCCGGGCCATATGATATTCGGGTGAGGAGGTTGAATTAGGTCTACGGACAATTTGAACAAGTCCCTTCAATCGCGTCAACTTTCTGTTCTTCTCTGCGCTCTCACATCTGCGTGACATTCTATGGTTACTGGCTGGTATGTAACTCTTCCACCTCTGAGTCCTCCCCGAACAAGCTGCTCCATTGGTTCGCAATCGTACTTCTTCATGAACTCGTTCGGCCCACAATTTGAAAATCTTTGACGCGGACCAGTGCAGATCAGCTGGCAAAACCCCCTACCACAATATGTAGAAAAGTAAGGCAGCGTTCAGACTTCGCGATGGCAGCGCTTGGATCGCGTGTTCTACGTGTCAGCTAGAAAGGCATGCGCATTCGAAGCGCGCTGACGGTGAGCCACGAATCGGCTGCCGTCCGGAAGTTTGACGCTGCCTAAGTGCTTATAAAGGAAGCCTTCAGACGCTTCCCTGCCTGAACCAGTAATATCGCAGCATACTTCTACAAATAAGCTTTCTGAATTAGCTTCAAATCCGGTAGTTAGGTAAGGTATGGTAGGTAAGGTAGGGCCAGCGTCGTTGAATTTAGCGCAGTTCGGCGAGAGGGCGGGGTACATTTTCCACTTTCTTACTTCCGGGAGACGGTAAAGAGGATCGTAATTCGCCGCACCGCCACGCGCGGCGATGGGCGCGGCGTTTTCATAACTCGTTTTAACCTGTCGAATGGAACACTGGACTTCATGTGGACCCCGTCATCGTAGACATTCATTACGGTTTTCAAACAGTCCGGATCTTAATTGCCATGTTGTCAGCCATCTACTGCCTGAACCGCATCGTCCTGTGCGGGGGACTCGCACGCGACACCACAGTCAGTGGCGGCAAATTACGATCTCTTGATTACAATACCTTATTCACATAGTCCACAGTTGCAAAGTCTCACGTCCGAGGAACTGTTAATTCTTGTGGGAGCAAGTACGATCTTGTCAGCACGTGGTAAAAGAAACATGTGCATTCTTAGTAAGCTCTTGAAATGGCTCTTTGGATAGGTCTCGACACGTAGTATGGGAAGATAGCAAAGTGAATAAATGTCCCTCCCCTCCGACCGTCCACCGCCGTTGCCTGGGCGACGCAGTTCACGACCTAGAGATGATCGGGCTGCGTTATACTCGCCACGTCGCATTCCTGGGGGTAATCTGCGTAAATGGAAGCGAGAAATGTACATTTGGGCGACACTGATTTCCGCAGAAAGTGATTCCGAGCAAAAGACAGTAGGTATAAAACTGGGCATTTCTGTCGCTTAAGTGTTTTTGAGAGAACGTTTCCGGCACTAATCATCCTATGAATCACTTTGGTAAACATGGGACAGTGAATAACTGTGATCGTTCGGGTAAAGCGAAATATAAAGACGGCTGCGACGCGACCGCGCGCGTCAGCGTGCTACAACTCGCCCGCGCCATTAGTTGCGTGTATAGCAGACGTATATAAGACTTGTAAACCTGTGACGGTGCTTTAGCGTTGACGTCATCGAAGTTTGACAACAGTGAAAATGCATCCTTCAATACGGGATGAGCACCCTGCAAAAATTCCCAATCAAAATGAATCGCGAAATTTGCTCCTGGACTCACTGTCCAAATGGCGCCTGATTTGTCAACACAGAAATTGTCAGCCGTCGTCAAAATCGGTACATCAACCACACGTGACAACGAGTGATTATCCTGCAAAAACACTTCTTTTAGTGGAAAATACCATGGGTGTGGGACACCACATCCGCAATGCGGCGACGCCAATGCCGCGTTGTGGATGCGATGTCCCACGCCCGATTACTGTTTAATCAATGAATGGTTCAATTGACCCCTCACTTTGGTAAGTTTGTAGACGGAGATGGTTTCGCTGTTGACGTGGGAGATGATGACATGAGTGCGTTCCTTGTTGAGGATGATACCATTCGGTGAAACTGTTCTCGAAATCATGTAGGAACTGGCCTGAGATGAACATACACATTTGCGAAAAAAGCCGAAAACTACCAGGATTAGACCCCATCCAGCGCGTGTGTCTACAATAGGTATCGATTTTACGCGCGTGTAAACCATAACCCAACCGGCTCATGAGAACTGGGTGTAAAGCTAGCCGGAGAACAGGAACCACAAACCTTTCCGTCGTAGTACACAACACTTCCACTTGGATAAGATGAAATTAATTCCAGTATATTGAAAAACGATGTTTGAGCATACCCGTCGTTGGTAAGTATAAACGAGTTCTCATCGATCGCCACCAGGTCATTCGGCCTTGAAATGACAAATGAATATCAGCAGTCTTGGGCCGCGTTCAGATTTTGCGGCAGCCTTCATCAGCGACCATTAGCACTCACCAGCGTTACGAGAGTCCGGCAGCGCCAGCGAACAGAAAAGTATAGATTTCGATCTGGTGAGCGGCAGCGTCCACCAGCGTCTGCCAGTGTCCACCAGGTAAGCGTCCACCAGCGTCTGCCAGTGTCCACCAGGCTGTTAAAGTATGGGAAGGTGGGAGGGTAGTCGACTGCTTGTAGAGAGTGTGGCGCGATAGGAGTGTAGCAGACAGCTGGCGCCCTCCTGTCGCCCCATACTCTCTACCAACAGTCTGCTGCTGGTCGCTGGCAGACGCTAGATCAATATTATTACTTTCCTAGTCGCTGACGCTGTAGGACGCAGGAAACGCTGGTGGACGCTATGGTTGTGTGTGGTTAGCGTAACAGTAGGAACGCGGCTCTATTCGTTGATCGGATGAGGGGTTAGTAGTACCAATGTGAGGGCAAGGTTGCGGTCACTATAGCCGTTATCCACCTGTTCGGGTTATGGCGGCAAAAGTGGTGATGAAAACGGACTGATAAGGCCGACGCATATGCAGTTGAGTTTGATAGCCAACGAGAAGAGATCTAGCTGCCGCCGCCGTCAAAAGACGAGCTGGCCCGCGTCAAACCCATCCCCTGTGACACGCCCCATCATCCCCAGCGGATAAATCTGCGGAAAAATAATACAGACCTGTGGGACTGAGTTACCTGATGAATTTTTCGTCTTTGATGATCCGAACAAGATCCAGCTCAAGCCAATTTTTTCTATTCCAGTCCAATATCATCACCGAGTGTTCGAATTTTTTCGAATGAACGATCACGAAGAACCGAGCTCCACTGGGCGTAATAACATGAGATATGCCGTGGGGATGGAAATTCTCCTGAACCATGCCTTTCTGACAAATCGTGGGAAAGTTAGGTTGTGGAATCGAAATAAACTTCTATAAGAAAACTAGCGTAGGAACGAGGAAAAAGCAAGATAAGGAACCGAAAACTCCCTCAAAAGGCCCTCTTCTTGCGGGAGAGCGAGACCGCTAACACGGTCTTGCAGTGCTGCTCATCTCTGAATGGCGTCGTTGCCACTAGACAGCCTTGGCAGAGCTCATGGCTGCCCCAGCACTTCTGGTCCTCTTACTTGCCGAAGTGGGTGCAAAGTGGTGCGAACTTCGCGGTTGCACAGGGCCACCTCTATTAAGCAACGACTAGCGGTAAGTGGGGTATATACCACTGTCCCCTCACAAACTCAGAATCGGCTTCCCAGCAATATAGTACCGATAGGCTCCTTTTGAATGGAGCCATGTAGGAAAGAAATAATTCAAGCAATTTTAGTAAATTCCAGTGATTGTTGTCTACCTGGTCGTACTTTCCATTGATCTTCATCGGAACAGCCCTCCACGTGCCATTCTGACGGAAATCGTAGAGAAACAGTTGTCCTTTTACTTCCTAGGAACAACTCTGAGGTTTCCAATCGTGTCTTTAACAACTGCTAGTAAAAAAAGTAATAAAAAGAGTTGCATTTGGTCTCCACAAGTTCCATGACTCGAAGTTGTCAAACCTTATCGCCGCCGTTAGGTCCCAAGGCATGTCGCGGCGACGCGCCAAATTAGGCTGCAC